AGTTATTAATGTAAAATAGTAAATAATTTATTTAGTTGTTTTCACTACCTTCATTGAAATAGTCTGCATTTTTGTTTGATTCTTTAAATTGTGCATTTAAACTCGATAGTTTGTTTCCTAATAATCTTTTGTTATCAACACTCCAAAAGTGTGTTAGTTTTAATTTACTTAACTATTCTATTTAATACATTTTTTCAAACAGAATAATCATTTTCATTATATCTAGTATTTTGTTTAAATGTTAAAAATTGAGCAATATAAGGAAACAATTTCAGACAAAAACAAATATTTTAAATACATTTATAAAAGAAACCATGGTATTCTTTTACTTAACTTCTTCCACCATTACAAAACAGTATTCAAATACTTTACAAATAAATAGCTATTTGTTTTCTGATTTTCTTATATATTATAAGTATATATTATATAATTATATATATTATATTGAGAAAAAACATGAAATAAAGCAAAAAATATGTTTAAAAGCAAAAAGTTGTGAAAATAAATAAACATTAAAAAAAAATTAACAAAGTTTCTTAAAGTTCTAGCGTACATAGCAAATTAGTTTGTTAAAAATCGTAAATAAACTGCATATTAGAACATAGAATCATTGTTATAAAATTATAAAGTTTTTTTCCTCAACTTGTATCAAATTTTGTAGCTTTTTTTGTAACAATCAACTTAAAAAAAAAGAAAAGTTGCATAAAAATTTTAGAAGAAAAAATTTTTTTTTAAAATTTTTTTTCCAATAGTCACATGTTTGGCTTGGGCATTTACATTTGTAAGAATTCACCCATATGTCGGGAAATTAGGTTTGAATCTATTCTTTTATATGCTTTTATTTACCACCACTTCATTCTATTGCCTTTCTCTATGTTCTATATCTCTCTTCTCAATCTCAAGACTGCACTTTTTTTTGATGTTATTTCTGATCAAATAGACCAAGCCGTTTCTCTTTACATTTTAGCCAATATCGCTGTTGTAGGTGACTTTAATGCTCATCACACTGAATGGCAATCCGAATCATTTACCTTCTTTACTCAACTTATGTTTTGTTTCTGATCCTAGTCAGCACTTTGTTTCTCCACATTCACCTTCACTAGTCTCTCCACATTCACCAGGTACAACTGATCACGGTTTGATCTCTCTAAAACTATTATCTCATTTTTCTTCATCATCAGAATCTCATTTTCATGATAACTCTTACAACTACCTTAAAGCTGATTGTGACTCTTTCTGTGATTTACGTGATGGTCCTTGCGTAGAAATCTTTCGTCTTCCTGCTTAAAAATGTGCTTCTTACATAGCTTCTTGGATTCAGGCTGGCATGAAATCTTTTCCCTCTCGAGAATTCCAAGTTAAGCCTTACTCTTCTCTATAGTTTTCCTTGGATTGTGCAATTTCTAATCATAACCATTACTTTCTCATCTATCCGCAAAACAATTCTCCAGAAAACAGATGTCTGTTTATGTTTGCTAGAAAACATTGTCAAAAAATTTTGTCTAACCTCAAAGCCCGCTATTCTCAGGTCACAAAATCTTGTATTTCATGTTAAAAACTAGGCTCTAATGATTTCTGGAGAATCTTTAACAGTATCTAAGGCCAAATCTGTTGATCCATTTTTTTTTTTTATGGTTCAGATTGTCACCTCACCTAAAAACAAAGCTAAATTGTTTGCAAAGAAATTTTCACCAATATCATCTCTTGATTTCACTAGTTGCGCTCTACCTGATATAGCCCACAAACAGGTTGATCACTTGCTTGACATTTGTATCACTCTAGCTTCTGTGTCTAAAGTGATTTCCTGCTTAGAATCTTCTTCAGCTTGGGGTCCAGACAACATACCTATTATAGCCTTGCAAGTGTTATCTAGAGATGTTGTCTATACTTTCAAAACTATTTAACAAGTGCTTATCAGAGTCTTGTTTTACAGCCTACTGGAAAGCAGAATCTTCTTATCATAACCAAGGTTTTTAATTAAATCTTTAATTAACAAACACGTAATCTCTCATCTTGAATCTAATAATTTACTTTCTGATCATTAATATGGATTTCAATCTTCTTGTTCTACAACTGATTTGCTAAAAGTAATAACCTTTAGGTCATATCATACATTAGATAGATGTGGAGAGGTTAAGGCTATCGCTCTTGACATTTCTAAAACCTTTGATAAAGTTTGGCATGCTGGTCTTATCCATAAGCTTTCTTTGTACAGTGTATCAGATAACATCTTTAAAATTATTGAATTTTTCCTTACCAATCATAGCATAAAATTTATCCTTGATGGACACTCTTCTTCATATCCTGTGACTTCAGGAGTTCCTCAAGGTTCTATCCTTGGCCCTACACTCTTTTTAATTTACATTAATGTTCTTCCAGATTTTCTCACATCTAAAGTGGAATTGTTCAATGAAGATACTATCATTTATTCTTGTCTTGATAAGAAGCCAACACTCTCTGATTGCTTGGAGGGATATTTAAGCTTGAAAAGGATCTCACTTCTGCTTCAGCATCGGGCTCTCAGTGGCTAGTGAACTTTAATTCAGATAAAAACCAATATTTTTAGCTAATCGTTATCACAATAATTAAGATCTTCCTATATTTATGAATGATAATGTACTCAATGAGTCGTCTACCTTTCATCTTCTAGGATTAACTCTTATCAAATCCATTGCAAAATTAGCATCTGATAAGGTTGCGCCTCTTTATCATGCTCGCCATTTTCTTACTTCAGATTCTATTCTTTATCTCAATAAAACTCAAATCCGTGCTCAGGCTTGGTCAGGAAGCAGGAGCGATCGCTCTCGAATACTGACCACAAATATATTATTTAGTTGCAAAAAACTGGCCAGGTTTTTTAGTCGTTTTGAGAACATTTTTATGCATGTTTATTAAATTTATAACAAAAAATTTTTTAAATTTATAACAAAAAATTTTTTAAATTTATAACAAAAATATTTTTTTTTACAGACATACATGGAAAAATAAATAAACTTGAATGTTCTCAAAACATTTTGGTGCAGAAGAATAAAAAGAATATTCCCAAACACTAAAAACCCGCCAAATTTATTTATTTAAACAAACTAATTCTATTGGTTCAAAAAATAAGCTGACTAAGCAAAATAAAGTTCTAGAGTTTTCTGTTAAAATGCTTTAAAAATTGTAATATTATTAAAGATTTGTTATGTTATGAGATTTCTAGCATAAATTGTTTTAAGAATATATTATCAAACTAACAATTACTTTAAATTTTTGAATTACAATAGTTACAATTAGATTTTTGAGATTTCTAGCATAAATTGTTTTAAGAATATATTATCAATTAAACTATTACTTTATTACTATGGCTCATTCTCGGAGCCACATCTGCAAAGCCGTATATCTTTTAAACTGTTATTATTTGTTTACAAAAATAAATGTTTTAAATATGTATTTTTTAAATTGTCAAAATTTTGAAAGTTTATTATATATTATAGATTTTATTAGTATATTCTTATTTTTTATTTTAAAAAAGTATGTATTTTTTATGTAATTTTATGTATCTGTTTTTTATTCTAATGTAATCTTTTAAAGCAATTATTACGATTTATTTTGTAAACAAAAAGACTTTCAACAATAATTGCGTTTTCAATAAAATTATAAGTAATCATCATAGTTAATAAAACTAATTATGAAATAAACATAAAAGAAGTTTCTGGTTACTAAACACAAACATGCATACAAAGTAACTCGTGGATGAACAAGCACCGCGCCGTCACGACAGAACACAAATATATATAGGAAGTTATTAGATATAAAGAAAAGTTTTTAGATATTGGTTTACTAACTCCAATTATTTCCAGTTCAGTTGCTGATCTTACAAACTCATTATACTTAAACTTAAGGTTACTTTTTTCTGTTTTAAATACTAATTAAAACTAAAAAGCCCACTCACTAAACATCATCAGCGGTATTGTGAAGCAGTTCTGCTTCCTCTTCATAAAGTACTTTTAACCTTTTTAGTTGATTTTCATTTAGTTAATTTAATTTCGGCAATAACTCAATGATTTAATTATTTCATTTGTTTATCTTACTAAAAAGAATTGTTTCAAATATATTAGACTTTTCAAACTAAGCGAAGCATAAGATAGTCATTAAAAAAATTAATTTTTTTATTTATAAAATAATTTAGTTTAAATAAAACTAAAACCAGCGTTAGTTTTATTAGAATCTTGTAAGACTTTTTGGGACCGAGGGCTATTTTTATTTTGGAGGCATTTTTATTATGAGCCGCAGTGTAAAAATGACTAAAAAAAATAAAGGAAATAAGATACAAGTATATAAATAAAAATTATATTACACTCTTTGATAAATAGCAGACCATTTGTTTCTTTTTTAAGCAATCGTAAGATGTTACTTTATATAAAAAATGTCCCTTAATTTTACAAAAAAAATGATAAAAGAGCGATGTTTTGAAAGTATTTGTTCTAAACGGATTTTATTTTGCTTTTTTCCCATTAAAAGATTTTAGTTCCCTAGTTGATATTTTTTTTTTGTAGTTGTCTCTCATTGGTCCAATTAATCTTTTTTGTGCTTTTTTTTTTGTTTTTTGATATGTTCTCAAAACGACTAAAAAATCTGGCCAGCTTTTTGCAACAGAATATTATTTCCATATATTATATTGGCTCTAGCTTCCGACCAAACCTGCTTGCTTGTATGGAACGCTGTTGCCATATCTGGGGCAGATAACTTTAAGTTGTGTTTTGTGCATTATAAAAATATAAGAAAATATCAAAATTTTAAAATCATTCATTCCAAATATTAAAATAAAGTTTAAAAAAATTTATTTTAAAATAATTTTCTTTCAGAGTTTTAGTTTTTTAAGTATTTTATCATTACACATTAGATTCAAATTTAATGATGTAACAAATGAATAAAATTTGAATCTAAAACTCTAAAAAAACTAAAGTTAAATCTTAAAATTTATAATTTTAAAAAAAAGTTTAAAATAAGTTCACTTACACGTCAAACAAAACAGCATACTTTCTTTTTGGATCAAAATCATATGGACGAGTTTCTCGGACAGGAATATCATATCCATCAGAATTAATAGTGTAATAATGAACTGTTGGCATATCTTTTTCTTTTAAAGCATTTCTTGTATTGATATTATTAGAAAGAAGAATTTGATATTTTGATTTTATATTGTACATTATAGTAGAAGGTACAAATGGACCCTGACACATTAAAGTTACCCATGAACATTGTTTACTGAACTGCGGATAATAATAGGTACAATTAGCTCCAGTTTCTTTATCTGAAAGTAAAAATTAAAAAAAATAACTAAATGACCATCTTGTAATTTTGTATTTTACATTATCCATGTAATAATAAGAAACTGACTCAAGCTTGTTACTTTATATAAAAAATGTCGCTTAATTTTACAAAAAAATCATAAAAGAGCGATGTTTTGAAAATATTTGTTCTAAACGGATTTTATTTTGCTTTTTTTCCCGTTAAAAAATTTTAGTTCCCTAGTTTTTTTTGTAGTTGTCTCTCATCGGTCCAATTAATCTTTTTTGTGTTTTTTTTTTTTGTTTTTTGAAATGTTCTCAAAGCGACTAAAAAATCTGGCCGGTTTTTTGCAACAAAATATTATTACTATTAGTAATAATATTTTGTTGGTATAATTAGCTCCAGTTTCTTTATCTGAAAGTAAAAATTAAAAAAATAATTAAAAACCTCTTAACAAAACTAAATGGCCATCTTGTAATTTTGTATTTTACATTATTCATGTAATAATAAGAAACTGACTCAAGCTTGATTGGGGTCCAGTTTGACAAAAACAGGGCCAAGTTGTAACCGGGGCTAATTAAATGATGATGAATCATGACCTTTTAGATTATTGAGTGTGTAAAAATTTATAATTAAAAAACCAAAAAGAATAACAAAGCTTGCATTGTTATTCCAAGATCGTGCTCTTTCTAATATTTGAAAAGATCCAAATGTAATTGGATCTTCTCTTGTTTCCAAGATGGAGCCTCTGCTCTATTGTTGCAAGGTTATATTTCTTTCTTATTTCTACCATGGTTACTGCTCAAACAAGCTATTATCTCTTGTTAACCCTACCAAAAAACAACTTTATCTGAATCAACAACTTTCATGCTCAAAAAAAAATATTTGCTCATCTTTTCTTAAACATCAATGTTTTTTCTCCCATCCTATGTTTTCCTGAGACATAAAAATTACTATTTATAAAGTCTTTTATCAACTATTTTCTTGCTATTTTTCCTCTTTACTTTCTAGTAACTATCAACTTAAACAAAAAACTATCAACTTGGTTACTAGTACTTCTCAACTTGGTTACAAGTAACTCCCAACTTCTTTTCTAGTAACTCCTTACTTATGTTATAGTAACTATCAACCCAAACTAATTTCTAAAAATACTAATTTTAACATTTTATAAAAATTGAATATCGAGTCTAAAAATTATAAATTATAAAAACTACTAAATACCATTGTACAAACGATGCTTCAGTTTATAAATTGATAAAAAAAACTTGTGACTGAATCATTGGCACTTGTACTTTGCCATTTAAACACAATTAATTGATTTTTTCATTGGTGTTAATCTATTTTAACAAAAAACATAGCATATTGATTGATATTGGCATGGAAATGCCAGTATTATTTAGATATTTTGGTCATCCCAAAATTTTAATTTATAAAAAAAATGTTTTAGTGAAAATATGCCAGTGTTCACTTGTCTACTTATTACTTGTTTACTTCATTAACATGATAATTCACTTTTTTCATTTTTAAATCACTTTTTGTTGTTTTTTGACTGGTTTAAAAAGTTATACAATAACACATTTTAATACACATTTTTTTTTTACACAGTTGAATAGTATCAAAACTCCAAAGAATTTATTTCCAATGTTCAAATAAAGGAAAAATAATTATTACTTGGTATAACAACTAAAAAATTACATGAACTTTAAATAAATTAACTGAGAAAAAATTATTTATTAAATAATATTAAATAATAATATTAATTTATTATTAACCATAGTAACAATTATAATAATAATAATAATAATTAACAATAATAATAATAATAATAATAATAATAATAATAATAATAATAATAATAATAGTATTATTATTATCATAAAAACAATAATATTATTATCAATATTATTAAAATTTTTAATATTCATACATTAATACCAATATCATCATATAAAATATGATATTCGTTAAAATGTGGTAATATATGGTATTTATTAATGGTAAAAATATTGTTTATAAATCCTCTCCAAAGCCAAGAGAGTCAATAAAGTCATAAGTCAAGACAACTTTTTTTTAAATTGTTATTACGACCCTCTCTAAACACTTTCGAAAGTCAACAAATCCATAACAAGGCAGTTGAGTAGTGAAAAAAGTTGAACACAGAAATGGCAAGATCAAACTCTGAAATTTTGCAATGCAATTTACACATACCTTTAATAAGCCCACAAGTGATACAGTTCTTCTTGTTGGTTTTAAGATTATAACTGTACACATGTCTGTATCTGGATGAACTTTCGGTACTTCGAAAGTAGCTAAAAAATTATTATTAAGAAATTTTAGGTTGATAAAAAATGTTAACAATAATAAATTTTAGTAAAAAAATTTTTTTACATAATTTCTTCATCCGTATTATAGCAATTTAAATCTTGCACTGTGAAAGTACCATCAGTTAAATATTCAATTGTTTCAGGAATCTAAATAAATTTTACATTATGTAAAATTTAAATACTTAATTTATTTTAAAAATTTCAAAATTGTAAATGTTTATTAAGTTATTTTATATGTTAAGTTAAAGGTGGTACCAAAAATAACTTACTTGTGTTGAGACTTTTGCAATATGACGATACTTTCCCTCATTTCCTACATCTTTTGGAAGCATTGTAAGATAATATGACCCATCCTTGGAGAAGTATGGCTTCACATACTATATTCAAAATGTAATAGAAAATGAAATAATAAAACTTTAAACACTTAATCAAAATACATAATAACTTGAATATTGAAAATCAAAAACATGTATTATGATTTGTTACAAAAATGCCCTTTTTTTATATTAATTTTATATTATATATTTTTATATATTAAAATTATGACAATCATTAGGCATTTCTAAGAATATTTTCTAAGAATATTTAAACATTCAAATAAATAGTTTGTTTTAGGCTTACATATAAAATGAGAATGTTTTCATATATAATGTAAATACTTTGCTTTTATATATAATGTAAATGCTATGCTTTGAAATATATTATAAGTGTTACATTTTCATATATGATGTAAATAATGTCTTTATGTATAATGTAAATACTAAACTTTTGTGTATAATGTAGGTGATATGACTTCATACAACAAAAATTTTTTGTTAAAAAATTTAATGAAAGCCTAAATGTATATTAAAAATATACAATACATCTATCTAAAGGCAAAACCAAAAATAAAATTTAAAATTTTTCATAAGAACATACATCATCATCAACCCATCCATTTATAACTTTGTGTTTTTCTACCTAAAAAAAAAAATATGTCTAGAAGAGATAAAATATTTAAAAAAAAAAAAAAACATACTCTGGATGTTTTTTATGATGTACTTACAATTACTCCTTGTGTTTCACCAGGTTCATACAACATACATATTGTATTAGTCTGTTGACGATTCATCCACTGAACAAAAAGTCTTGCATTTTTATTCCATTTCATTACAGCATAATAGTAATCACTAAATTCATAATAGTTTAATTCTTTAAATTCATCACAGTATTTTTTTAAAAAAGATACCAACAACATGTCACAGAAAATAAAATAGTGAAAACAGTCAGACATGAAATAAAAATTACAACCTATTTGGAAGATGAAAAAAAACTGTGTAATATACAATGTCATTTAAAAATTTAAACTTTTTCAGCCTTAGACTAATACCCATTGATCATCCAGGTCATATTTTAAATTCAAAATATATTATGCAAAAAACATAATACATAAAAAATACAGTTAACTGTGCGTCAGAAAAACTTATGTTTTCACTAGTAATACATATCTTTTGCCTGAATATGAAAGAATATTTGTTGTTTACTGTAGCTATAAATAAGAATTTATTTTCATCTAATAAAGTAAGTAAAAAAAGGAATAGAATTACTTTATACTTTCTTAAACATCACAAAGAAAGCTTACATAACTCTCACTGAAAAGAATTTTCATAGCTTCACCTGCTGACATTTGCACAGCCATATCTAACGGAATCAGAATAAATGAAAACTCTCAGAATAACATTATAAATCAAAGTCTTCTTTATTTTTTTATTAGTAAATGATTTTTTTACAATATTTTAAGAGAGTACAGATACCATTGTTATCAAGCATAATATATAAAAATCTGTCAAAACAAAAACAAATCAACACATTAGTTTCCTAATGCAAAAAAAAAAAAAAAGGTTTTCAAAACCAGGTTGTGATGCAACCTCTGTCATCCTCATTCAGACCATCCTTTGAAACCAAACGTTATTAACCTTGTATTTTCAATGCCTTTTCTAATTTTCTATTGAAACCATTTATTTCTACTTCGATAGTATTTTTTTAGGATGGTATGTTACCACTTTGCTTTTGAAATTAATGTTTTAATTTTTAAGTTAGAGGAAACTACTGCGTTTAAAAATCTCAGAATAACAATATGATAATGTTCAAGCCATTAAAAACCACTTTAAAAGCCATTAAACAATGAATGACATATTTTTAAATTTATACAATTCAAGACTGAATGCATACGATAATGAATTAATAATGGAATGTAACTTTAATTTCTGTACAAAAAAAAACCTTGATCAACAACTGTTTAAAAGAAAAAAGTTAGTGGTGTCTGTGAAAAGTTAGTAGTGCCTGTGAAATAGTTAATATTAGTAGTGATTGCTCATAAAATTAGATTAAAATATAAGATTAATTTATAGATTAATATAAAG